TACAAGCCAATTTTCAACATGAAATATAGACACCAGGAATCAATTTAAGCTTTGCTTCTATTTTAGCAAACTCTGCTTGCGTTTAGTCGCAGGTAAATAACATGAGCCAGCCCAACCCCAGCTTCCCTCTGAGGTGGGAAGGGAATGGCATATCATCTGTCTGTTCAGAGACAGAGAAAAGGCTCTGTCTTCGTTTTTTGCCCTAACTGTATTTTATGGGATCTACTGGGGTCTGTATCAAGAGTCCTCACAAAAAGTTTTTCAAGTTTCCGAAATAGCAAAGCTTATTTTTGTCTGTGTGCTGTTACAGAGAAACCCTGAAATTCTATTTGAAAGTAAGTTTCTAGTTCTCATAGGTGTATTTTGCAAGTAAAAGAAATGAGAGCAATTTTTGCTAATGTCAGGAAGCTGGAATTGCCAATGCACTTAATTTTATACTTAAAATATTCAGAGTTGAAGGAATGTCATTCTCTTTCCCACATAGCTCTATTTTAACAAACCCTTGTCGGTTTTGCCTAAACATTATATGTTCTTTCAAATTTTCATTTGTGTAAATTAGTTAAACTAAGTATAAATTGTTAAATTGTAAATTGTTCTGAGTGCAGAATGAAAATTACTTTGAAGAATAATACTCATCGTTCCACTCCTAAGAGAGATTCTTACCCCCTATTGGGGTCACTCTGATGGTAGCTGTTAAGATTAGTGCTGTTGAAAGAGCATCTTTATCTGGTAGTATCTACTCTAGGCTGTATGGTGACTGGAGATTTTTTTTCAGAGCATCTTGAGATTAATTCCAGGATCAAACATCATCTCACCTGCCAGTTAATGAAATTGTAACTACCTTCTCACGATGAAGAAGCACTGGTTGTTATAACTGAATTGGAGCAACAATAAGTCTAGTGCAAAGAGCTGGAGTCCACCCAAAACTCATATTAGCCATAACAGGATCCATAGCACTTAAGATTTAGTAATAGGGTGGCTAACTAGAGTGTGGACTATGGGAGGCTTCAACACAAACCTACTTGCAAGTTTTTTGTGACAGAAAAAGTGATGACTGTCCCTATCTGGCATTCTGAGATATGGCTGGTGGGGACAAGGATCTAAGGCACCCACATTGTGAGGTACTTCAAGCCATAAGGCTATTTCACTACTCACCTTCAGAAACTGCTAAATGTCGTTACAAAAAAGAAAAATAACTTTTGGGCCAAATTAGCTTTAACTGGTGTTCCTGTACCCCTTTCCTAAAACTGTTCATCATCATCATCATATTAGTTGTTTTCAAATGAGGTATTGTGAATTAATGTGAGGATCTCTGACAGAAATGTGGGACATACAATTAAAAACACATTCAAGATAATCTAGTTCCAAAACCAGCATTGTTTTGTGGTTGGAGGACTGGATTAAGACTCTAGGATAGGGGTCCTCAAACTTTTTAAACAGAGGGCCAGGTCACAGTCCCTCAAACTATTGGAGGGCTGGATTATAATTTGAAAAAAAAATGGACGAATTCCTATGCACACTGCACATATCTTATTTGTAATGCAAATAACACTTAAAAACAATGCAATAATTAAAATGAAGAACAATTTTAACAAATATAAACTTATTAGATTTTCAATGGGAAGTGTGGGCCTGCTTTTGGCTGATGAGATAGGATTGTTGTTGTTTTGTGCTTTCAAGTCATTTCAGACTTAGGTTGACCCTGAGCGAGGGCCAGGTAAATGACTTTGGAGGGCCGCATCTGGCCATCGGGCCTTAGTTTGAGGACCCCTGCTCTAGGACCAGGGTTCAAATTCATATCCACTCCTAGGAACCCAAACCACATTTGCTTTCTTTCTTGGAGGAATGCAATGCCAAATTTCCTCTGAAGACATCTTGCCAAGAAAATTCAGCCACAAGGTCTCCGGAAGCAGCCACTGAATTGAAAGGACACAGTCATTATTACCTAGTCCTGCTTGTCAATGCCATTGAGCAGTTGCTGAGCACCTGCCAACTCCTTACCATTGCCCCATCATCCTGCCCCAGTTGTTTTACTTCTGTTCCTTCCTTGGTCCCAAAGGCTCACACAACTGCTTTTTCCCACCCTCTGAAAGCTGATTTTTATAGTACAAGGTTGGAGAATAGTGGCAGCTACATGAACTGACTGCCACAATGGAAAGACTCACTCAAGTCGAGATTTTTGAAATAAGACATTTTGTTAGTAGAGTTTCACCTGCCATTTTCAGCAACTTGTACAACTCCCTAGTCAAAAAGGAAGAGAAAAAAAGAAGCACCCATCTGTTATTAGACAACTCCACTTTCACTGATGAGATACTACTGTTTATTTATTTATTTATTTATTGTATCAAGAGTGAACCAAGGGTACAGTGTAATGTATTTTAAAAACACAAAGTTTACAAAAAAAATGGCATTATATTAAATGTCCTTCGACCAGTAGCTGGCCACTTGGAATGCCCCTGGTGTTGTTATAAGAAGGTGCGTGTGGCAAGGCTCAGGTTGCATTGTAGTAGGTGGTCTGTGGTTTGCTCTTCTCCACACCCGCATATCGTGGACTCCACTTGGAGTCCCATTTAAGGTCGGTTCTGCATCTCGGGGTGCCAGAGCACAGTCTGTTCAGCACCTTCCAAGTCACCCAGTCTTCTGTGTGCCCAGGAGGGAGTCTTGCACTTGGTATCAACTATTGGTTGAGGTTCTGGGTTTTAGCCTGCCACTTTTGGACTCTCGTTGCTGAAGTGTTCCTGTGAGTATCTCTATACATCTTGGAAACTATTTCTTGATAAGGCATTGGCATGTTGGCTGATATACGGGGATGGGCCAGAGATGTCACTGCCTTGGTCCTTTCATCATTGGCTGCTACTTCCTAGCAAATGTCAGGTGGTGCAATACCGGCTAAACAGTGTGATTTCTCCAGTGATGTAGAGTGCAGACATCCTGTGATAATGCGGCATGTCTCATTAAGAGCCACTTCCACTGTTTTAATGTGGTGAGATGTGTTCCACACTAAGCATGCGTGCTCAGCAGCTGAGTAGCAAAGTGCAAGGGCAGATGTCTTCCATGTATCAGGTTGTGATCCCCAGGTTGTGCCAGTCAGCTTTCGTATGATATTCTTTCTAGTGCTTACTTTTTGCTTGATATTCAAGCAGTGCTTCTTGTAGGTCAGAGAATGGTTCAAGGTAATTCCCAGGCATTTGGGTGTGCTGCAGTGCTCCAGCGGGATTCCTTCCCAGGTAATCCTCAGAGATCGTAATGCTTGTCTGTTCTTAAGATGAAAAGTCTGAGTTTTAGATGGATTAGGAATCAGCTGGTTTTCCCTGTAATAGGCAGTAAGAGCACCTAAAGCTTTGGAGAGCTTCTGTTCAACCATCAAAGCTCCCTGCTTGAGCGGTGATGGCACAATCGTCAGCATAGATTAAGTTCTCTGTCCCTTCTGGCTGATGAAGCATGATGAAGCATGCATGCTCCCCTGAGGGAGGCCGTTCTTCTATTTTCGCCATTTGCTTCTCTAGCCCTGGAATTAAACAAAAAAGCTCCTGTTTTGTAGCAGATTTCCTACGAGGCACCTTGCTTTTGGATACTACTGTTAAAGCTGGATGTATTACAAACTAAGCCTCTAAAGTCTTACCACTACTTTTACAGAAAGTCCTACAATACAGTATTTTCGAATATCTTAAGAAGGGTGAGGGATGTATGTAGCATAACTTGGTGGCCTCAAATGTTCCTCTTTGTAACATCATCAGCTATTAATGAAGCTATGAATGACAGGATAGTTAATGTAGAGATGTCTGTCTAGTTGTTTTGGTGATTTATGTAAAGGCTGAGAAGCAACATTGATTCTTTTGCTGAAATATATTTACTCCAACACCCCAGGCAATCTTAGAGCAGAGTAAATACAACTATAGCAATAATGTATTATGTAGCTATAAAATTAGACTCGGACCAAGACTTGATACATTTTTAGCATGGTACAAATATATGCCAGCATACGTACAACAGATCTCACAGCCTTCAAGGTTTTGAGGTCATCCACTTGCAAGACCAATATTATTAAATGCAAATAGGAGCATACAGAAGCATGCGTGTTCACATCATCACTATTTAAGAATATGGCCATCTAATAATGTAATAATATGAGGTGTGTTCATCTGCACCTTTTTATATCCATGTGAGGCCTCAGAAGCAAATCCCATGCAAATACAGCAGGCCCATTATATGCCTTCATCAGTGATGGTGCAGCAGTAGGAATAGAAAGACCAATGACTTCAGTGATGAGGAGATGGCAACAAGTGCCATCTTTGTCAGAAGATAAAAAAAAAAGGTCCTCTTCGATGCACAGTGCTCTTTCCCACTCATTATACTAAATTATATATTTAGAAGTGTTCAGCGTATGGGCAAGATAGGAAATGAGGCATTTCTTCTGATATTTGGACCCCAAAGTATTTAAGTCTTTAAAGTCTAAGCACAGACCAAATAGGGAAGCAAGTGTAATTCTTTTAAGCATGGGTGTGACATGACTCCATCCAGGACAGGGAAGGGCAAAGTGTGGCCCTCTAAGATATTTGATTACAGTTTCCATCAGTCCTAAGGACACAGAAGTGAATAGAAAACCAAACGTAATTGGGGCAGATCCATAGTAACAATTTCGTCAACTCAGATTTCAGTTATATATTATTATTGGTTTATGTCTGGTTCTAATTGTTCAGGCATTGGTTGCTGAACTCTTTGGTAATGGCTCAGAGTGCAGAGCAACTGATGCATTTTTGTTCTGCATTTGTTGGTGGAGCACCAACCTTGACCTATCTAGGAGTAGCATGAATGAGAGAGAAAGAGAGAGAGAGAGAGAGATGCATAGTCTAGATGGTTATGAGGTCTCAGGAGTCATAGCTGGATTATTACATGGATACAGGTGTGTGTGTGTTTTTTTTTTCCCCCGACAAATTTCTTAGCTGAAAATATAATCCAATGCATTTCTTCTCGTATCTTTTTCTTTCTCTACCTAACAGATGACTGCAAGAACATTGCCAACATCATGAAGACATTGGCCCACAGAGGGTTCATCTTCAAGCAGACCTCCAAGCCCTTTTGATCTCTGGGGCCGGCCGGACAGGGCTGCATGCGGCCGGCTCCTGCTACACGGGCGTGATGGGCTGGAGCTTTCAACGACAGAAAGAGGACAGAGGAACGAGTAACCCCATGACTCCGTCAGTTTTGCTGTTCTGCCAGTAGAGGCTGTATATATGGAACTGGAATCTCTGTGTAGGCCTGACGTGACTCCCTCTCTGGGGCCGGCTGCCTGCCCAGCCTGGCCCAGCCTGCAGCCCCCTAGGGTGCTTGCTCCACATGGTTAGAGACGTAGATTGTTTTCCCTTTTGTTGGCTTCTGATTTCCATTTGCGTCTTTCTCTCTTTCTCTCTCTCAAGCTTTCTGCTCACAATTGCGCCTGTAGCAAGACCGTGGCGCCATGTTCGGGCTCTTGCCCTTATTATTTTGAGTACAATATCTCAACAGCTGCAGTCAAGCCCCCCTTTCCCTGTGTGAATCTGTTTTTGTGTCTCCTGCGTGTCAGCTAAATATTGACTGAGCAGCATTTGGACCGGCCCTGCCCCTTCCTTCGGCCTCTCTCCGATTGCCCAATCTGTTTTAAATAAACACTAATCCTCTGATTCCTCCTATATGTGACTAAGAAAGCTTGGCTCTTTCTGTTCAAGGTAAAGTGCCTGTATTCCCCGCCCACCAAAAGCCACCCGTCTCCTTGGGCCTTCGTTCAGCAGGGGCTATCAGAGGGTGGAGCATCCTGGTTGATGCTCGTGACCATGTCCGGCACCTCTTGCACAGTGGTCCCCTGCTCATGCCTCCTCAGAGCCTGGGTGGCCTTACTGTGCATCCATCTGTGCATGCCCCCCTCCTCCCCATGTAGCATGCAGTCCATTGCGGGCAGTGGACATGACTGCTAGCCCAGCAGGGGGATTGTGTTCCCAGTCTCTATACACTTCCAGAACCTGCAGATTGACTGATAGCTCTGCTTCTTCGCCATTACTAAAACTGACCACCTCGCTCTTCCACAATGGCTGCAACCAGTCTGTTGCTTGAAAGATGTGGCCCATTCTTCCCATCTGATTCCCACTGCTCTGGAACAGCACAGGAGGAAGGAGAATAAAGAATGGTGCTCCCTCCTCATTTTGCTGGTTCCCAGAAACCTTCTGCCCTGCTCTTAGCCTTTGCTGAATGGATACCCAGGTAGATAGGCTCCTGCTGCCACCTTCCTGGGAGCCACACCAAGAAGGCTCTGCCCTTGCAGCAGTCAGGCTGTGAGGTGATACAGGCACTGGGCCTTCCCAGTAAATAATGCATGGTGTGTGGATGTTCCAGCTGAACCCAACCTGACCTCCTCATCGGCTCGTTACTCCCATCCTTGCTGTAAATGTGCCACATGAATAAAGTTTGGGGGAAAGGAACTTGACTCATTATATGCTCCAAGGGAATGGGATGGTCTTTCCAGGAATCTCTTACAAGGTGCATTGCTCTCTGCTTTTTCCAAAATCTGCTCATATGATCACAAACTTAGGCAGCTTCTGCACAGATCTGAAAATAGCTCACCCCTTTTAAGGGCAATTGTTACTTTTAAATGGTTGTAAGGAATCATCCAATCATTTCTTGCTGTAGCTTAGAAACACTGTGTTAGCTGAAGATCCCTTCCCACTTTCTTACTCTTTTATTGGCAAAAGGTTCTGAGAAAAGCTAATTCTGGTCCTCTAATATTTATGTCTGGTCTTACTCCAGCTGTCTTGTCCTCTATGTCATGTTCACTTTGGGCAGAGCCACAAAGTCTTCAGTAAAGTGAATTGCTGTAGACAGTAGAAGTGGACGGGGTAGGTAATATCTTGTTTAACAGGTGCAACTAATTTTTTGTAGTATGCTCTGTTCAAAATTGAAGAGCATGAGATTGCCAAATATGCCAAATTTTCCTCCCCTATGCATTCACACACAGAAAATCCATAGGCCGTGCAGTTCACAGCTGTACTGGTGAACACATAGTAAATGTGCACCTTCATTAAAATAGAGAGAACGCAGGTTAAATAGGACAACATATGCATGCAAATAAGTTCTCATCAGCATTTATAGGTAGAGTGGCTGATCCTTTCTTTTATATTCCATATGAAAATATATCATGTATTGCAGAGCTAAGCCTGGAACTACATGTTTAAAAAATCATCATCCATTTCAAAGTCATAAAACAAACTTAAAGGCCAATGATTAATTACCAAATGTTTGTTTAGTGCTACATGACCTAAGGTGGCTTATGCATCAATGTGAACCAACTTAGAGGATTTACAGAATAATGACAAACAGAAGAAATAGAAGCACCTTAGAAAACATCCTCAGCTGACTACTTAGTGGCCTGAGATAAAAATCAAAGTGACTCACTACCTGTACCATTGTTGCACACTGTTTTTCTCTGCCTCATTGGAGAAGGACAAAATTTTTGTCCCACCCCATTTAAAACCCTCTCCTTTATGGTACATCAATGGGAATAGGGTCCCTTTCACTCTACACTGAAGTTCAGACAATGGGTAGGGACAACTAAAAAATAAGCAGCATGTCTATTCAAGCCAGGCAGCAGACTCAGCAAAGTTTGTGTTCACCAACCACTCATTCTTTCTTCTGAGTTTCATCCTCCAAGGCACTGGAGAATATAACTGAGTCTCTCCCACCTCAGGTTAGGGACTTAGGATCAAAGGTCACAGGGATTTTAATGGCTCCCTCTGTGTAATCACCTGATCAGTTTTATTGATTCTGTGTCGATGGAGTCGTCTAATTAGTTTTCTATGAAAACGAAGAACTTGGCCTTTGACCTTTCTTTCTGCTAGCACAAATGTAAATCAAAGGGCGTTGTCATGCACTATCGATTCTAAGTTGCACTTGAAATGGGAAGTGGAAGGTAGCGCATGTGTTAGGCCTGACAGCTGCAGGCCAGGAGTGTCATAGCCCTCTTCCGAAAGGTAGAGGGGGAAAGATGATTGAGGAAGAAGGGGAGAGGGGGGTTTCTGTTAATTTGTGACAAGGTACATTCTAGAGCTGGAAAGGGAGCAGGCTGGAATCATTCCCAATTGAGAATCCTAAGGCTTACCGCATGCATTGGCCTAACCCCGTGATGGTGAACCTATGACACGCGTGTCAGCACTGACACGCATGGCTATTTTTGATGACACGTGGCCACATGCGGCTGCATACAGCGAAGTACACCTTATAATAACTAATCTAATTCCATCCTTAAATTTGTAAAAGGCTCTATAAATTTAATATCTGCACATTTGAGCATTGTTCACTCCATAACTCAGCATGGAATATACATTTTTCTTATTTAAACTATAAATATTGCAAAATTGTGGGGGGGTTTTTCCTCGAAGTTGACACCCCGCCCAAGTTATGCTCAGGTTTTTGGCAAATTTTGACACACCAAGCTCAAAAGGTTGCCCATCACTGGGCTAAGCATTGCTTTATGCTGCTGAGTTGGGCTACTCACACACTTAAGGACTGCTACCTTTCTGGAGAACACATACTATCAAATGCCTGTGGACTTGGACACAATCAGAGCTTCGTGCTAAGATTTGACTTAGGATGATGTTATCTCCACTGGAAACACCATTATACCAAATACCTGGAATTCTGCAATCTGTATGTATAATGCAAATATTGATGTATTTGCCCATTTCACATAATTTATTGTTAGCAAAGAGGAAAAATAAGTGGCTAAGTAATGAGATAAAAATTCAGTCTCAATATCTTCTGACATGGGATCTCACATTGCCTTCTGCAGCTAGAAGAACTGGAAAAAAATTTGAAGTCACTAAATTCAATACCAAATAGTGTAATGTTTGTTTCAATGGCTAATAGTCTGAGTTATACTGTCTTGGCTTTTCAGCCCTGCACAAAAAATTCAATCTTCATAATAAGGCATAATAATGTTCCCAGGTTCATGAAAAGCACACATGTATTCAGTTGGCTGCTCCACTGACCACTAAGCTATCTTTCCAAGGAGTATCTCTATTAATGTATTTTATAATCCAATTTAAATGTTTATTTTAACTGTACATTGTTTGGGAAGGCATCGAATAGTTGCCTAAGTGCAAGCCACCTTGAGTCCCCTCCGGGGTGGAAAAAGGCAGGGTAGAAATATTGTAAATAAATAAATCTCTACAGCAGTGGTTCTCAACCTGTGAGTCTCCAGACGTTTTGGCCTTAAACTCCCAGAAGTCCTAACAGATGGTAATCTGGCTGGGATTTCTGAGAGTTGTATGCCAAAACACCTGGGGACCCACAGGTTGAGAACCACTGTTCTACAAATGATACTGTCCTACTATATGTGATAAACAAACACAAAGCAGCTGTAATCTTAGAACACATAAGGAACACATGCCAATTCTAAGTGAACACATAGACCTGAATTCTAGTATTCCTAGTTCCTGATAGAGTAGACCCATATATAAAGGTTATTGATTCAGTGGGTTTATCTAGTCTGGACTACAAGTGGAATTTAGGCCACACAGCATCAAGCTGCAAAGAGCTGAGTAACTCTTTGAAGAACAACACAAAAACCATTGCACTATGGGCAAGTACATGTGCCCACAAGCCCAGCAGTGTAGAATACTTTGGCTAGTGAGTGACAGGACTGAGAAATTGCCTCAGTCTGAGAGATGAGAAAAATAAAGATGTAACCTTGGAATTTAGTTAGCAAAACAGGCCCACAATTAATGAAGCTGAATGTTTGAATTATTTAGTACCAATGTTTAAACAAACCTACAGACAGCAGATAAAATTTGGAGCAGAGGCAATAGCTCCCTCACTATTTTTGCCTACTACAAAACATTCATCTGCCCACTGGCACATTTTCTTCTTCAGAACAGTTGTCATTTGTTTGGAATGTATGCAGATCATGTCTTATCCCAAAAGACACTAGTTAATACTAGAAGCAAGGAATCGGGTGTTCGTTATTGCTCAACCAATGGCTAAATGTTCATTCAGTGTAGCCCAAGTACATGTAAAATCAATACTTTCAACAGTAGCACCAAAGAAAGTGGAAAAAATTGGAGTTTCAAAGAGCACACATTTATGTCATTCTATATCTGTTCACGCTGCTCTTTCTATGACTGTAGTTTCAACTTAAACCTGTGGTCTAAATCTTATTGGTAGTCTCCAGTGAACCCGCTGAATTAACTACTGAATGGTAAGTCAAATGTATGTAAATCAATCCCCTTGGTGGAATAGGATTTAGGCCATTGAACTCAAGTGTTTGCCACTATTTTATGAGATAAGCATTCACATTCATTACTCAAGTGCAGCATCATACCAGAACATTCTGACCACGTTTTTACCCTTTTACTTACCTTCTTCACAAAACCAATTCATAACCCAAAGGTCTGACTGCCCATTCCCAATTCAAAGAGAAATTGGGACAATGATGTATCTGTCACATGATTTCCTATACAACCACCCCAGACTCAATTCAGATTAGACAGAACAAGAGGTAACAGGTTTTCTATATTTACAAAGAAATTTACAATCAGTGATATAAAAAACAATACAATAACCACAGCATCAACAAATACGAATCTGTTATGCAAGCTCATCCAGTCCTTTTTACCTCCGGCAGAAGAGGACAAGAGCATTTAAACAGTCCTCATTGCCACTGTAATGGGTAACTGGTGCCCTCTTGAACCTACAGTCAGTGCTTCGATTCTTCAACGTCTAAGGAGCTGTGATCCCTCATTGCTCATGGCTTCTTCACCTTTTTGACAGATGAAGAACTCGAAGCAGATTCTCTGCGCTTTCTCTGTCACCAAAAGAAAAAGAAAAAGTGAGGTGTTTAGGGCTTAGATCATTAGGCTCCTGGTTCAACCATTAAATATATACCTGTCAAAACCCAAGTATCGGATGTCCAGAGAAAGAGCTTGGGAAAAGCCCACCAGCCAACACCTAAAAAAATGAAGGGCTGGATCCTGAACATAAAAATCTAGAGTGGTAAAGAGAGAAAAACTAAGGGACAGAGAAAAGGAGAGGTTCTGGTAGCCGAATCACATGGCTGACAACAAGGTATATGTCTCCAGAACAAGTATTTCTGGAATGGACACATTAAAAGGACAATGGAAAGGAGCAATTGTATGGATATGTCTGAAGGACACACCAAGAAGCAACTGCAAATTATCAGCAGATTGCATTGCTTAATACATGATCTCTTAAGTTGCATGCTTTCCCAAAAGATACACAGAACCCATTTCCACTGTATTAGCAAGGAGATAAAAGTTGTGATGAAAAAAATATAGAGAGTGATCCTGGGGTTGCACCTATCCTTCATGTTCAACAATGCTTGCCTAGAATAGTTTGTCGCTAATAGATTCAGTAAAGCAGCCTTTGCTTAGCAGGGAACCTGCACTACTTCGTTAGCAGTCGCCCTCTGAAAAACAAAGTCTAGTATCAGGAGGAAAATGAGAATCAAAAGGTACATTTTAAAACAGCCAGCCCAACCTGGAAACAAAGGAGTGGGGGCTTGCGCGCTTCCCAGCGAGGCTGCTGAATTAATGGGGATGAGTGCACATGTTTGATAATCTTTATATGGCAAAAGAGCCATCTTTCAAATATGTCACAAATTCATATCAATCACCTTTCCTGGCTTGGCTTTGCCCATCGCCGTGGGCAAAAGCGATAAGTGTCTGGTTAGAAAAAATGTTCTACATTATAATTTACAAGAGCCTGGGAACCTAGTTCTCTGTTAATGGAAAGGAATTATTTTAAAATGAGAAGCGCACACACACACACATAAAACATATTCTCTCTCTCTCTCTCTCATATCATGGGCATAGATACACATTTATATATACGCGCGAATGAGCCAAGCTTTCTAACTCCATCTGGAAGGAAGGATGTTTGATGTTAACAATGTAACTTCTCACTTTCAAGCAGGCTCAGAAAACAAGGAGCCGGCAGGAGTTCAGATAAAGGCAGCTTAAAAGTCAAATGATTCTGACTCTGAACCCGAGACTTCTTAGAGGCAAGGTCCTTTCCTTTCCCCATTAATGGGCTGACTTGTGAGCCCAGGAACAAAGTGCGCTGATGTGAGGAATTCTGAGGAGAGTCAACTCATTATGGATGGGCGAGTGGAGTCTGAGTCGCGCAAATCAAAGGCTCTAATCTGGAGTAACTGGCTGCACTTCTGCTTGGAACTAATTTGTTCCAAGTTAGACTCACCTTTCACCCCCCAAAGGCCTGGAGTAGCGTCCCTCCTGGGTCAGCAGAGCAGTGCTCTGGGGTGGGGGGAGAAGGCAACCTTCCCTGTGGGCCGCCAGCAATGGACACAACTTAGGGGGATCCCAGAGCAGATGAACTAAAGGGGTGCCCTGGGCTGGGTCGGAGAGAGGCCGGAAGTCAGAAGGCCAGAAGATAAGCCCAGAAAGGCGATGTTCCTGCCAGAAGGTGGTAGGTGTTCAATGCTACATTTTCCCTGGCTGTGGTGAGAGGGCAAGGTGAATGTCTGCTAGCATTATTCAACACATGTTTGAAAGGTAGACTACTTTTCTTGCAGTATTACAGACAACACCTGATGCCCAGTTGCCCTTTCTACCTCAAAAATAGCCTCCAAGTGAAAAGATCGGAATAGTTTTGAGGAAACAGCCTTCAAAGTCCCAATATTGGACATCATTTCCACATCACTGTTTCTCAACATAGCTACTTTAAGTACGCTTGGGACTACTGCTTTTCCTTTTTGGACTATAACCCCCACACCCCACAAATACCCCGGACATACCAGCTGATGGCTTCAGAGAGCTGTATCCCAAACAAATGAACTTTAGGGTACATTATTTAGGTAGATCCACACACCACAAGCTCTATCTCCCGATGATAGTGGATAGGAAATGCCAGATTTCTAATACTGTACTGTCAGGTAAGCAAGGGATGAATGGAAGCCAACACATCTGGGGGAAATCAAACCCACAGGGAACTTGAGGAAAAAAGTTGAGATTATGCCCACACATGCAGCATATCCATAGCACACATTCCCTGTCCATCTTTGGGCATTTGGAGATGGATACCATGGCAATATAGAAATGTTGAGTGACTCTGTGTAGGTTTTGGGATTTTGCAGATTATCCATAAGACAGTGATAAAACACACACTACACAGGCCTCTGTCTGCCTTTAGGTATATATTATATTATTTCTCTTTTCCACCAAGGAGTTCAGAATGACATTTTACCATAGTAACCACCTTGTGTGTTGGGATAAGCAGCTACATCCAAGGGCACCTAGTGTATTGTAACCCAGGTTTCCTGTATCTCAGATCCAGCTACATAAGCTCTCATGCCTGAAAGTGACAAGAACTGCTCCTCACTGGGATGCTGTTTGAGCCAATGTCTGCCTGTTCACTCTGACATCCAAATAGTGGGGAAAATATCCAGGGTGTCTTAGTCATGAGCTGAGGGAGTTTCACCCCATAACAGCTGAATCTCAACTCCCTGAAAAAGCAGAGTGAAACACACTCCACACGATAGTGAGATTACATCCTCTCTTTTACTGGAAGAAAAGGCAAGTTGACTTCAAGTCTATGACAAAGATTTGCCTTTAAAGATTTGGACATCCACTCTGCTTCACCTCCAATTTGGAAGCCAACTTTATGGAAAGAGGCAGTGAATGAATAAGGTATAAGGGCCCAGATAAATACAAGAGGCTGCCAATGTAATTAAATTGACAGTCAATGCTATACTGCCCAAACTGGTGAAGGGACAGACAAACTGGCACACTCTCCCAAGTAGAAAACAATACAACACTTATTCGATTGATAGCAGTGCTGCTTCCTTCTACAAACCCACCCCCCAATGCCCCGCTCTCCATTTTGGCAGCAACGGTGAAACTCCCTGAGTTGCCCCCTTCCTGCTGGGTAAAATTTCTTTCCCCTCCAAAGACAGCATAAAGTGGCCACAGTGTGAATGCGCTTGACCTTTTGTCTTGGACTAATCTAATTGTGTCGTCTTTGTGTAACCAGCCGGTAAAGGTCAGAGCTGTATTTAACAGGGGGGCCCTTTAGGTACCAAATTTGCCTTGCAGTGAATTAACTTGATTATATTTCTTTCAAATATGTCAGAGCCCAGATCATGTTAACCCTTCTGGTGCTGCCTTCACTCTCTTTGTTTCTATCCCAAGTGTGGGGTAGGCCAAGATCAGCACTGGGAATAAATGAAAGTATGACATTTTGTAAACAGACATTTCAATGCAAAATGCATATGGGGAAATGCTTCTGAGCTGGCCTTCGAACGTTGATGATGAGACTTGTTGAAATCCAAATGTAAGTCACAGATTTCATCTCCCCCTAAAGAAGCTGTACATTTGGGACTCAGCAACATGATCACAGGAAAGGCCTTTAGCTTGATGCAAGGAATAAACTCTTACTCAAACTTCTATTTCCTATCCAGAGCTTATAGAGAGGTTCTTCATAATCAAACAACAATTGTGCCTATTCAATAATGAACCTGATGTACTGCTATGCCGGTATACTGGGCAGCTCTTATACAATAAGCCAGAGGAATGTGGCAGCTATTTGGCCAACACTCTGAATATAGCTAAATGGACTGCAATTGGGATTGGTCAGTCTATGTCAGTGGTTCTCAACCTGTGGGCTGCAGCCCAGCAGTGGACTACGAGAACAAAAATCTGGTCTGCTAACCTCCTTCCTCTTTATTTATTTCCACTCCTTTCCACAGAGCTAACCAGCCCCGTCCCTTTTGGTACTAATGTTGGAGAGTGGTCCCTGGTCAAAGTGGACCCTGGTCAAGAGGGCCGTGGTCAAAGTGGGCCCTGGTCAAAAAAAAGGTTGGGAACCTCTGGTCTATGTTAACCTCAACCTGAACCTATCTGATCAAAATTTTGTCTGCATCTCTGCTGCATCTTCTACCATGTGTTCATCACTGTGTACTAAAACAACTCCTTGGGCAAATAGGCATATACTTGGAAACTACGATTACCTTAAGCTGCAGGAACACCACTACCAGGAGATCTAGATAACAACTACTGTTCCATGTGCATTCCTTTAGGATACAGACTTATCCTGTCATACTTGAAACATTGGCAGGGGTGTGGGAAATGCCTCACTGACATGCCTAGAGATCTATGATCCTAATTCCTACTCACCGAATTAGGTGTGAGGGGTGCCCCCACCACGTCAATAATCTGTTCCTTGCCATCACCCTTGACCTCTTCGGTGCTCAAGCCTGACTGTCCATCAGCATGCAAGCCACCATCTGCACTGGGTCCACTGCTGCCTGCCTTGGCCAGGGCCTCATAGCGATGGCGTAGCATCTGCAGCTCATATTCACAGTTTGCAAAGGCTTGCTTAAGCTCATAGAGTAGCACTAGATCACTGCGTAATTCGTTGAACATCTGCACAATTTCCTCTGTTGGCATTGGGTTCAAGTCTGCAGAAGAGAAGAGGGGGGTAAAGGTAAGCAAATCAGTTCCATAGCTTTCTTTGGTGTATACTTGCAGAGTCTCCTAGGAATTCTGTTTCATTCCAAGATTGAGGTGGAAGCAAGCACTAAAGAGTAGAATATGTCAATTATTTTACTATCCCAACTATTAGAAATATGAGGAGCCTTCCCTGGATTCCCTGCCACACCCTCACAGCCATTTCTAGACTGGTAATGTGAGGAGCCTAGAAATTGACCCAGTTTCAAGGGAAGGCATTCACTACACAACCCCACCTTCATTTCACAGCCTTACTTGCTGGCTGTACTCAACAATCCTTACTCTCACAGCAAGGAAATTGTAGCTGGGCATGGCAGGAGGCCAGAGAGTGGCTTGGATTTAGCCCTTATTTGTAAACAAGGAGCCATCCTTATTTTGAAGGAATTCAGAATACGGCAGTCCGTATTAAGATCCATCCAAAACAGTAACAATGAGGAGGCCAAAGAGCCAGTCAGTCTTCCAGACAATGGCCACTAACCCTTTCAAAGAACTTCTCCCCACACGAAGAGATTGGCTTCCTTAATGCTAGGCTCTTGCTCCTCAGGCAGAAAGAGACAAAGACTCCGTTCAAATGCTTTTCTACTGGGAAGAATTAAACAAAAAAAAATCCTGAGTATATCTTCTGACTCCCCCTGCTTTCACTCATGAGTGTGTGTGTGTATGTATGTGTGTGTGTGTGTGTGTGTGTGTGTGTGTATATATATATATATATAAAACAAAATACATCAGGTATTATTTTTTATTTTTTTTTCAAACCCATTCACATACTGTTATTCAGGGAACTGGCTGTATTACTAAGGGGAAAAAATAGCCCCTCTAGACTACAAAGACTTTGCTCCATGGGTCTCTCTCTCTCTCTACCTGCCCTCTTTACTCACCTACTCCGAGTTCCATCAGCATCTGCTCCAAGGCTTTAATCTTCTTCTGTCCCACGGAGCTCGGCAGTTTCATCTGGAATACAAAGGTAACAGCCACACAGCTCTGAGCTAGCCCTCACTCACAGCCGCCTAGTTCAAACGGCAAAGGAGCTTTGCTTTTTATAGTGCACAGGGAAAAAAGCGAGGCAAAGAAAGAAAAAGAGAAAAGGGAAATCAAGTGCTGGGAGAGGGAGGCAGAGAGAAGGTCTGAAAGTTTGTAGACTAGGGCCAAGGGCAGGGACTGAAAAGCCTGGTCGCAAGGGCTTTACAGTTCCCCTGGTGCCAAGATGCGGAGATGCACAGCTTTACAGCTTCCATGTGCAACTGAATTAACAACAAAAGTTCTGCTCCGTTTCGAACCCTTTCCCGCAGTGCTCTGCCCATCAAAGAGCTCAATTACACAGCAGCTAATGTGCGATGCTGCCCTACTTTACTTGCTCTTGCCAGCCTGATTAGACTCGTGCACTAACAGACTTCCTTCTCCCTTTACCTGCCAAGCCCGAAGCTGTGGGATTCATTTACAGAGCCAGTTTTCTAACAAAAGATGCAAAGAGGCACAAAGCGCACACACTCTTACTCAATTGGCAGAAATGTGAACACACAGCCACGCTGGAGCCGAAGGGGGTAAAGAGAGCAGGAATGTATCAGGCAGGGCACAGACCCCAAGCTGGGTAAGGGATCGCACTTAGCAGGACCCCCTTAGTGCAACCTGAGGGGGTCTTTAGGGGCCGGAGAGTAGTCAATGGGGAAAGCCCAGGGGTAGAGAAACATGAGGCACAATTCATTATAGGTCCCTGGCATGAAAGGGGAAATGGTCAAGCTAACATTATTCAAACATTCCACCAGAGCTAACAAAAAAAGTATTAAAACCTGTCTGCAAGGTCTTCATCACTACCTTCAAGGAGCTTTTTTGCTTCTTGCCATATGCTCATGTTAATAAAGGGAATATGTTTGTGACTACACTTTGTTTCCAGCTTCAGATGTTCTTCCATTGAAAATAGGTATCACCCTCTCTCCTAGCCTGTTTTACTTCAAATCTTTGACAGGAGGAAGCTGTCTTTGGCCTATGTTTAGTGTTATAATATAGAGCAAATTCAGATGGTCAATTCATAGGATTATCTCATTCAAGTTATTCTTCCTAGATAGATGGAGCATGATGCAAAGACTCCATTTTTATTGCTAAGCGATGAGAGAAAATTACAAGCAACTTTTCTCTTTTTCTGTCTCTTGCCTCCCTCTTTCCCTTCTTTTCTTCTTCTCTTTTCTATTTGTTTCCTTTCTTTCTGTCCTCCTCTCCCTCTTTTCTCTTTCCTTCTTTCTACCACTTCTCTCCCTCACTTTTCTATTGATAATTCTCTTATTCTTCTCTTTCTCTTTCCTCCTCCATCTCACTCCCTTTCCCCCTCTCCTCTCTTTCCCTTTTTTCAAACCTATCCTCATTTTCTATTGCTTTCTCTCCCTTCCTTCTCTCTTGCTTTTTCTCTTTTTTTCTGTCTCTCCTTCTCTCTTTCTTCCTCCCCCTTTTCTCTCTTGTGCCCCTTTCTCCCTTCCCCTTATTTCTTTCCTCCTCTTTCTTCTTCTTCCTCTCGTTTTTCTTTCTCTTGTGACCCTCTCTTCCTTCTTTCTCTCTCCCTCTCCTACGCCGCCTCACCTTCTCTCTCCCATTCTTTTCTCTTTTCCCCTCTTTCTCCCCCCCCCCTTCTCCCCTATTTATGAATTTCATCTCGTAAACTCTATAGCAGTTTATTTATTTATTTATTTATTTACTTTGCTTATATACCGCTGTATCTCAAGCCCGGTTTTTCTCAACCTGTGAGTCTCCATATGTTTTGGCCTTCAACTCCCAGAAATCCTAACAGCTGGTAAACTGGCTGAGATTTCTGGGAGTTACAGGTCAAAACACCTGGGGACCCAAAGCTTGAGAACCTCTGCTCTATAGGGATGGTGATTCATTTTTATATAGGTCACAGGGACTCCATGCACATGCACACACCATTTTTTTTCAAAAATAAAAGCACACTCTTTATTTGAAGGTAAGGAGTTCTTTCTGACAGTTCATTGGACCCCCAGAGTGTTTTAATGCAGGAAATTGACCCCAGAACCCGCAAAACCCGCTCAACCCCTTATATAGAGCCTAAAAGAATAAACTATAAAATCAGGAAGTTTTGAATCTAAATCTCTGCTGTGAACCCATGAAATGGCCCAAAAGAAGCCATTTTCAGATTCAGTCTCCCAACTAACTATGAACCATTCTGAACAACTGAAAGAACTGTACAAGTACAAAATAAAATAGTTTGAAACTGTCGTCAATTTGTTCCACTGAATTGTGTGACAACTACATTAAAATGTGGATTATCTATATACATTTCTGAGCTACTACGCAGGCTGAACAAAATTGGCATATTATTAAATATACTGTATTTTTGTTAAAAGCAATTCTAGACTGTTTCCTAAGATATATTAACCACAGATACTAATGTTTATTAAAATACTTTCTGTGTCAATAAACTTTAACCCTGCTTTCCAACAGGTGTTTTTCCAATCAAGTCCAGTAATCTCTTTGTCTCTGTGCTACCCATCTTTGCCAGTTAAACCAGATATTTAAAAGAAACCAAACAGGTGGCAATCACCTGTTTATAATAGTTAAGCAGAACCTCCAAATCTAGCCCGCTATGTCTCCGAACAAGAGTTGCTGGAGGCAAGGCAAGGCTTTTCCAGATGGCTAGCTTCTGATCACTCAGAAAATTGAGACCCTCATATGTTATTGGATTTCCACTCCCAACAGGCCCAGGCAGCATTGCTAATGGTCAGAGTGATGGGTGAAGAATTGTCAAAGGACAAGTCTAACATGTGGAGGTTCTTCACCAAGGAAGTTCCTTACCATGGAATTGAACATTGGTAGACCAAGCATATTTCTGCTTGCCCAACAGGTTACAGGGTCAGATTGTGATGAAAATCTGGGAGTAGTATGTGGCAACTTCTGTTCAGAATATAAAATACATCAACCTTCTTATCCTATAAAATACAACTTTATGGCTTGTCAAGCAGTTCTAATTATAAGACAACGATTCAGTTTATTCTTCTCCATGTGTCCCAGCTCCATACATTTCTGTATTGTAGGTTTTTGGAAGAACATGGCAAAAAAATTAGCCAGAGGCAAAAGGATCCCCTTCCCAGGCCAAAAGGGGCTCTGTTAATATCAGTCAGAGGAGATGCTGCCTTTGTCTACCCAGTGATAGCCCATGAGTTTGGAAATATACAGCATTATTATTTTTCTTTTGGCTTAAAGGTTGGAAAGGACAGCAACAGTCTGGATGAATTTAGATCTACCAACAGACCACAGAAGAATTACAAGGCCAACTCAAGAGAAGCGGGACCGTTTGAGTTTTCTGAGCTTTTGAGAGTATCAATTAAGCTTCCCTTTAATTTTGGGGGAGAACTTGGCCTGTGAACGTGAAAGCTCCATTGGCTTCTTCAAGCAAGAGTATATTTTAATTTTACCATCATTAAGGAAATGTTATGATTTATGCGGCTGCTGTCGGACTAATATCTTTAAAATTTAGCTGGCTAAGCCAATTCATCTTTAAGACTGATGAAGGTTGATTGCTCTCTATGCAAAATGTATTAAAACTAAATGAGGAGTCTATTACTCACAGGGCGCTGATAATCCGTTAGGTAGGCTCCGTTAGCCTGGCTGTCGCAACAGCAGGCAAAAGCCCAATGCTCCACTCACCTCAGCAGCAGAAAGCAAAAGGCAGCAAAGGCGGCTGCCCTTCAGGAAAGCTGAAGAATCTGGGCTGCAATCAAGCTTGACAGAACAACAGGGCTACAAAATGCAGGGTTTTTACTGATAAGCAAAGTGTTCTGACCTGGCTTAAATATTTATCTACGTATATTTTAAGACCCATAAGTAGAGTCTGTGGGTAGTTTTAAAAGGGTCTTTTCTACTTGCTTCAGAAATTTATCCAGAATTTTATTTGGGGGGGGGGGGGTGTAATCTGGCATGATTTCCTAAAAATAACTCTGGATAATGTTGCTCCTTAGACAAAACCGACTTTTTGAAAGTGAGTATCAGCGGCCCCGAAAAAATTCCAAGGTAAAAGGCATACATTATCTACCCTAATAATGCTAAACAAAAGACAATTCCCTGAATTAAGATTATTATGGCAGCCAGAAACACTTTCACTTACTGGCCAATATGCTGAGATAGGTGGTCAGCACGACACTGGAGGGATACTTGGATAATGTAGTTCTCTGTCGACACCAAAGTGCTTTCTGACAAACCGTTGAATGGGATGTCAAAGGGATCCCTGTAGCTGCCTCTCAAAAATGGTGGACTTACAATATTTCTGGAGTCTGACACACACTACTGCACTCCCTTTTCAGGCAAAACTTATATGGATTGTTTGTGGCAAAGATAAATACAACTCTCCAGTTTAGCTGGAGAGAAAACACTGCAACCTGCTACAGAAGCACAGGGCTGATTCAGCTGGAGAAAAATCCTTTAAAGAATGTCAACAGTAAGCAAAAGGTGGCCCTTAGTCTCCTGCAGGCTAATTCTGTGAAATGACAACTCAGTACCTCATAACACAGCTCAGATCACTATTCCATGCTGGGACTTATGGGTCCTGATGGCTTTAGTCCTACCGTATGAGACGGCAGGTGGCCAAACACAACTTTTCCCACTAAATAACAAAGTGCTTTCTTAACTATACATAGAATATGACCTGGGCAGAACCTGGGTAGCAGCTCAATGCCACACAGAAGAAAATTCACTTCCAAGTGAGTACAAAAGGATTCTTAGAAGGTACATACCGTAGTTGTTCAGGCCATTCTTCCCCATAAAAAAACTAACATTATTATTTTTTATTATTATTGCTAAAGTCTCCAAAAATTCATCCCTGAAAAAAACTGGGCTGCTCACAAGTTGAAGAACTGATTATCTCGGATTTTTGAGGTTAATATATCTTGGATGCTATCTTCCTCTGACAAATTCTCCCAGCAGTCCTCTTTGCAACCTAAGTCTGTGAGTAT